TTTTTTAAATGCATTCACAAAAAGCAAGTGAGCTAATGTCACTGTAAGGTGACCTTTCAAACAAGAACTATTTCTGCCTTGTACATGACTATGCCACCTGTCAATTATAAAGAGTTCTGGGCCCCTTACTTCCTTGCTACAGGTTCTTTTCATCTCCCAGAATCACCAGATAAGCTAGAGTGCCCTTTTTTCCACTCAACACAGAGTACATTATAATAAAAACTCAATGGTAAAAGACACTCATTCCAGAGTGGCCGCAAGAACCACTTTGGACCCTAGTTGCTCAACAAATGTCCCAAAATTATGCAGTTCTGTAGTTCTGTTCTTTGTGAAGTTCCTTAGGTATGTTTTCCAATCCTGGACATCCCGAATAATGTATCCCTGGTGCTTCCTCCCTCTACCTGGTTTGTCCCCGAGTCCAGTTTGGGGAAGCTTGTTCAGAAAGACGATGCCAAGGTCTTCCTTCACTGCTTCCAGTCCCCGTTGTCTAAGTTCTGTCCCGCATCCAATGCCGTAATCTGCCCTGTAAAACGTACTTCTTCCAAAGGTCCCAGCCTTTGGGAGCCTTTCATAACAGAAGCTCCTGACTCTTCCCCTCTAGGTGGGAAGTTTGCGTGGGCAGAGTCAGCTGCCCGTGGTTCCTTCAGCAAGGTGCTGTCCAGATATGGCCAAGTGTATGTTTTATATGGCCAAGTGATGCACAGTATTGTTCCATCTCATCCTATTTTCAGGCCCCCCTTTCAACCAAAGGTCCAGTCAAACCTGTTTGCAACCCCACACATTACTCATGAATGGTGTGGCAATTGCTTAGCGCTTATGTTAAGAGGAAAACCAGTCATCACTGAGGTGTCACTGGCCCTTCAAGGCAATTCACATCCATACCACCCTCAGCTCCCGGTATTCACACACCCACCAAACAAAACATTTGGGCATTACAATGCAATTCATACTGTAATTCAATTTACCATCAGAAAATCTGGCAAAACATTAAAGCCTTTTAATATAGAGTAACTTTCAAAATATACTTGAATACTAAATAAGAATTGTTTATAAAGTATTGCTCCAATTAACAGGTTCAAACTAGGAGGCACAGTGCAGTAGTTACAGTCTTACTCTCAAGATAAGACAAGATATTTATAGACCAAGTCCAGTCAAATTGTGCACAGATACACAGGCTTTATGTTATGATTGCTGAGCAGGAATAGTTAAAAAGGGAATAACTATCTCCACCAGCTCATTATCATGAGTTGAAGAGGAAAATAAAATATTAATAATATATCAAATGATGAAACTGTTTTTATAATCACGTGTGTTAATAAATGTCCAACTGTATTAATTTTGTTGATAAGGTAAAATTAGAATTTGGAGAGCTTGTTGCTTCTCTTGCTACAGAATTCTTTTACGTACTCTCTTAGCCGAGAGTTTCTTGAACCCTAGTTAATTTCCTTGCAGCTCAGACAGTGGGTTTGTAGTCAAATGGTTGGTTAACTTGTCAGGATGCCAGGCACTGAGTGAGAGAGAATTTCCATTGTTGTGTTCACCTCTTACAATATGTGTTCCTCACCTTGGAATTGCCAACCAAAGGACACTGAGCTGCTGGGCACTTAATCTGTGGTATATCAAAGATGGACCCACTTTATAATGTCCTGGTTTCTTGCTATATATTGTTACATATTCATGCTAATTCTAATAGAACAAAAAAAAAACTCCTATTACAGTATATGTTTATATATTTAATATGTGCAGCACACACATTCAGTATAAACGTTTGTGAACTAAATGCATTCATATTTGAAAATAAATGCTCATGCTTCAACATAGATTAGAACTAATAAAAAGTAAGAAAGTTATGACGATGAGGAAATACAGTATTTATCTTCAGTTAACACTGCGGTTAAAACTGGGGTTAACCCCCACTTTTAGAACATCCAGGCATAATCCCACAGATCAGCTTTACACCATGGCTCCTTGGCCAAGCACAGACATCAAATGTTTGGCAGAATTACTATTGCAGCAACACCAGTAGTGTCCTGTCAGAATATGCATCTTAATGCCTACATTTTCTTGACTTTTACAGAAATAAAATCAGCTTCCATAAGATACGCAGGGTAAGGTTTTTACTTATTAAATAATAAGACATCATTTAAAAATCAAGATTATTCAAAATACAAATGTTAAAAAACTTCTCCTAGGACCTCTTCTACAGAAGCAGATATTGCCTCTATACACTAAATTGAATGAAGTGTGAAAAAAGCAGACTGTTTGAAATAATTAAAACTGTTAAAGCATCTTGAATTCAATAGAACAACATCAATTCATAAAATAATATGAAAAACAAATCCAATAGGTGTCTTATGGGTCATCCATTTCAGGTACAGACAGTTATTACTTGGGCCCAGGAGGATGGCAGGACTTCGGGAACTGGAGACAGATGCCAGTGATTTGCCCCCATGGCTAATGCTGCTACTGGATGAGAGCAGTTAGTTTCCGTGAAGAACATGTTTTCAGGGTGTCTGACTACCTTACATCACATTAACAGACTGGCAAAGTTTGCATGAATTTTAGAGTAGAAACTAATAGTTGAGTATTGGTAGGGAAAGTAATGTTTAGAGCCAGTGGGAGACAAGCCAGGTTCACTCTGGTACACTACAAGTACAAGAATTTGGTCAAGGTAATGGAAAAGGTGGACCGTGTCACCTGATCCCTTCTTAAACACTGTGCACTATGAGCTTTGTCATTTACTATTTTTACACAGGTACAAATGCTGTTCTCACAACTGAAATAATGGAAGTAAGCAGGGTAATTGTGTTGACTTTCTGTGAAGTCACCATTGTGAAGACTTAGAGGGACCCATTATGAAGTTTTGTTTCTGGATGTCTGTTTGTTCCACCTTTACAGAAAATGCAATTGAAAATGTTAGAATAGAAGATCTCAACAAAGCACTGTAGAGAGACAATATGAAAAAAAAATGTTAAATTGTTACCAAAAATCTACAGGTCTGAATTTCCATAAGTGAAAAAAACAACAACACGTAAATATCCAGGCATAAAGATGAATAAGTCTGGTCCAGTACAGTGCTATGCAGTGCTGAATAAATGAGTATTTAAATCTAATTCATTTGCTTGTATTTTTTGCTTTTCTTTATTACTAAAGCTAAATACGATATTGAGCACATGGTATTTAAAAATGTATGTTTTGCTAAATTGGAGTGTGATCAGAATGGTTATATGCTTTGTTTTTCTTTTTACAGCTTCCCATGAAACTATTCCACAGAAGTGAGTACCTATAATTTTAAGCATTGTTTTTTCAGGGGGTTTAATAATCAGCAATTCATAATAATTTAATCTAAAATTCTCAGGAATCCCCTTGGTGGGTATTACCTGAATGTTGTAAATTAACACCAAATTAAAGCTATTTCATGTCAAACAGAAACAGACAAAAGTAGATGCATTGTTAAATGCTACACGAGTCTTTATGTTGAATCAGTTCTTAAAAAAGTAAGTTGGAAGTATTTTTAAAGTAATTTTAAGGATTTTTAATGCTTTTTTATTTTTTATTTTTACCACAGCATTTTTTATGCTTTTTTATTTTTGTTTGGTAGGCTGGTTCTTATGTTTTTAAGCATAAGAGAAATCAAAGTTGTATTCAGTGTTAGGAGAACTTAACAGTACTTGTGGAGGTAATAGTACTAAACATATTAAATAAAGTAGGTGAGAGAAGATTCCAAAATTGTTTTAAATTTCAGCTGGAAAACCATCCAATCCTGGTGATTTTCCATTAGACATGCTGAGTAAATCTTTCTACATTTCAGTCAATGAGAGAGGAGAATCTAGTCTGTTTGACTCTTCAGCTGAAGGAGAATAAAACAGTAGGGAGTTTAATAGCCTTCAGGAATTATTGTGTATCTACATCATCAGCACAAGATCAGTACTATAATAAGAATTAAACTGTAAAAGTTGAATTAATCTAATATTGATTATCAATTAATAATTAGTTATGTAGGAAATAACATTTCTTTCCATGTTCCTCTTAAATTGCTGGGCCAACATTTGGCCTGATTTTTTATCCTCTAAACTGCATAAAGCGATTTCTTTGGAGTAAAAAAATTAGTTTCTTCAGTTAATTAAGCATTTTATGTATATATGGTTCTCAAAACATTAGCATACTGTAGTTCTCCTTTGTGGTAGATTTTACATGTATTTTCACCCTATCTACAAGGTTCTTTTCTGGATCAAAATATTGTTTTCTTTTTTAGTTTTATTAAAACAAAACAAAATAAAGATTTAATAGTTAAGTATTGAATACTTAAGAATACTACAGATGTCATCATAGTCCCCTGCTCAAAACAAACCTCTTTTAGTAGACATTGCTTTAAAGCTACCTTTAAAACTACCTACAGTATGAAACTGATTTCTCACATCTGGCTTTATTCCAAATAGCAATATTCTGTTGCAATGTGGTGAGCAAAATTGATCACAATTATTTTGCTGTGATTTTTATGATATGTCATTACCCACATTAAACAACACCTGTCATGTTTTCACCTAGTGTTGAAGTGAACCTACTATAAATATTTTTTAAATTACCTCTGCTGCTTTTAACAGTCAATAACATTCACTAATCCTCATCTTTTACTTTACTAAACTAAGAGTAGTGATCAATACAGATCCCTGGGTGTGACAGAGAAGCCTGTCACGAGGTACAGATAGCACGGAAAATACACTATTCATACACCTTCCATTGAGCGGTTGCTAGATAAGTTCCAGAGGGTGCACACTCAGGGCTTGACTTGTAACTGCTATTACTTAACTTCATATACATTCACATACATAACATACATACTTAAAAACATGCATGAGTGAGTGAGTATTGTGGTGTGAATGGAGAGCGCTCTCAAAATGGATGATACTCACTGTTTGTTTGGTGCAGGTACTTCCAGGGTGGGTCAGCCTATGGTGGCCTCAGAAGGCCAAACCTAACCCCACTTTTCAAGGTTTATTTATGGAGATGGGAAAAACCACATGCATTGAATTGGAGAAATGGTTTGTTCCAGAGGTGGAGGGGCTTACATTCTATTTAAGATGGCGCCTCAGCCTAAGAGGGAGTTGGTTGTTGGTATGTCAATGTGACTGAAAACAGAGAGAAAGCAATAAGAAAAAGAAGATTTATTTTTATTTGAAGAATTAGTTTTGTTTCTTTTTTGGGGGTTTTGTTTTCTGGTGTGGGGGACTGGGAGCACTGTAAATAAACTGCACTTATTTCACTTGAGTGCTTCTGCGGTGGAGCCATTCTGTTATAAAATGGACCTACTTTGGCCTTCCTCAGGACATGGTGTGACACTGGGGTACTCCACTAATTACATTACTTAATATAAATATTTAGCCTTTATCTGTACTCTAGGATTTCTTTCTGTTCACCTGTTTTCAAGTCTAAATAAAGTGGTGTGAAAAAGTAAGTACACCCCATGAAAAGGTTTGTCTTTTTTAACACTTTTGGACAAGAGGATATTTGATCGTCATTTCAACGATACTGATAGTTAAAGCTGATTTAATTTTTAAAAATAACATTGAAAAGTCACATTTTGCACTCATTTGTACTATCTAAATCAGCAGAAATGCAATTTTCTTGTGGGGGAAAAGTTAGTACACCCCTACCTTTATCATTGCATGAAATGCCTAAAAATAAGAATCAGGTGCACCAAAATAGGTGCAAATGACTAGAACATCATTAGAGAGTAACTAATGCCCAGATTTTAACCCCATAGAAATGATGTGGGGGACTTGAAGTGGGCAGTACATGCCAGAAAGCCCTCAAGCATCATACAGTTGAAGGAGTTCTGTAGGAAGAAGTGGGCAAAAATGTATCTAAGTCAATGTACAGTAGGAGACTGATAGACAATCACAAGAAATGCCTACAAGAAGTGATTTCTGCCAAAGGGGGCAACACCAGCTATTGAAGTTAAAGGGGTGTACTTATTTTTTCCACAGCAGACAATTGCATTTCTGACTTTTTTGTTGAAAATTCTTTGCAATCAAAGAAAATTCAATGTTATTTGTTAAATTTGATCACCTTGATCACCTATCCATACCTGCAAATATGTTCAAAAACACACACCTTTTCATGGGGTGTACTTACTTTTTCACAGTACTGTATACAGTATGTATATGAATATGCCTACTACATGTGATTTTAGAATGTTGAATCTGACTCATTTATTATGATTCCACAGAGAGCTCTTTCATTTTTCTGCCAAGAGCACATTAATTGTTGTAGAGTTTTAATCCCTGTGCTTTATTATTTCTAAAAACAGATATTCCCTTCTGATGGTTATTAATTTTTATTCATCATTATTTTATGTTATATTTATTAATCAGACAAAAGAATAAAACTGATATACTACAACGAGTGAAGACAGAGTTTTTGGAAGTAAAACATTCTACAAATAACCTTATTGAGACTGGTATCATTGAGAAAAGAAAGTAAGTTTGTGAAACATAATTCACATCATTCATTGCTTACCAAAACTATATAATACTGCAAGAAATCATATTGTTTTTTGTCTTCCTTTATTAAAAATTAATGTTTCTAAACAAATTTTCCCAGTTTTTCTTCTGTATTATTTTAAATATTGACATTTCTTCAACACTTTATACCAATTAAGTTTTAGCATACTTATAGGTCTATGTATATTAATAGTTTATTTATACTAGCATTATTTTTTCAGAAACCGTGAAGTCAGAATTAAAACTCTACTTAATGCTTTAATGGCATCAAAAAATAAGACTAGTCTGTCTTTACTTCTGTTACAATTAAAGCATGAACTGAGAGAGCCCAAGTCTTGCAGCGTCTTTTGGTAAGCGTACAATGTCTTTCATTCCCTATAATTCCCTAAAATAAAATAGTCCTTTAACTAACTAAAGAAAAAGTTCTTTTTTTAATATAAAAGTTAATGTTATTGTTGTACTTTTTTCTAATGATGAAAACATACTTACAGAAAATGTTTCAATCTCTGTGGGTGTTTTAGAGCAGCTCTATTGATTTTCAAAAGTTATAGCATGATAACAGCTCTCCTCCTTGCAGGTTAGCAATGCTGAAGAAAGAAGCTACTGAACTGGTCGGTGAAACAGATCAAAGACTAAGTGCCACATTAGAGAAACTCAGCCAGTTTCACACCTTTTCTAGCCAAGCTGTGCCCTATTCCAAGGTAGTGCAAAAATCTCAGTCACATTTTAAAATTTCTATGAAGATGTATTATGTGAAAAAATGTTTAAAACACTTAAGATGGACTGTAGATTGTAAAATGATATTCTTTGTCATTTTAGGAGAAAATGTGCCTGCTTACACTTTCACTTCCTTCTGATAAGCTTCTCCGGCCTGCAGTCCAGGATGCCCTATTATTTCTGACTGAAAATGTCATCCAGCTGCTGCCTAGGCACCTAAAGCACTGGTACCAATATCGGAAGCTTCCATTCTCTTCTTATAGTTAAATCACTTGAATATGGTAGCATCTTGCTGTCACTTACATCTCATTTTCAGGGTGACACTAATGTGGAAATGTATTGTGTTGTTCCATGTGTGTTATTTAAAAAGAATAACCTGAAGCAAGGTAACTTTGTCTTAACCTTTTCTTTGTTTGTTTTTATAAATATCAAACTCTTTAACAAGATTATACTTTCATAATAGAGGAACAGGTAAGTTCCTAAAAACTAGAATTTCCTATCTGCTCTTCTATATTCAATAAGTGTACCATATATACTGTATCAATGGATCAATGGACAAGGCAGCTTCTCAGCAAATAAAAAAGGACAAGCAAAAGTGTCCAGATCCACTGCAATGCATGGTTTAAAGTTTTAGAGACACAGAGGTGCACAGTAAAGGCAAGAAGGGAATTGCACAAGCTCACTTGAGCCAAGCGGGCTAGGTTCGTAGCACAAGAAATTCACATTTCCAAGGTACAAATGGGCAAATCCGGAGACATATTCAGGGCGGAGCTAGGGTCAAGTATGCAGGGAGAAACACAACAGGAGAAACAGGGAAAAACACACAGGAACTCGGGAACAAAACTAGGTCAGACCTAAACACAATGGCAAAAACCCCATGCCAGAGCCCAGAGCATTGTCAGAGGAGACATAAAATATCCGGAATCACCTGAGACGAGCTTGATTATTGCCCACAGGCTCCAGTCAGATATTTTATCAATGACAACCAGCACTAACTGACAGGTGGCTAGAGGTGTGTCTGGCTACCATGGCATTGTTCACTCACTTCGCAGTGCTCCAGCAAGAGCAAGCCTGACAGAGACATTATTTTAACCCCTTTTTCAGCCTTAGTATACAACATTATGAAATGGGCGCTTGGAAGGATACACTCTGAACCTCATGCCATTCCAACACAAAGCAGACACAAACACTCACACCAGGGCCAGTTTTCCGAGAAGCCATTTAACAACTGTGCCACCGTGTCCCCTAGTCAGTATTTGATTTTTGTACAGGTTTAAACTTTTAAGTGATCTAGAGCCTTGCATTCTTAATGAAAAGCAATGATGAATTTACCTTCAAAATGCTCATCTTATGTTATTGCTCCAAGAATTCACTTTGTGAAGAAAACACTCTAAATTACATTTTCTAAGTGATACAGGTGGAGAGCTACCTGTCGGATAGGAATCTGGCGGAGGACGCCTTCCTCCTGAAACACGTCCAGAGGACGCGTCAGCATGCGTAAGCTGCAAAGTAAAGGTTTATTCCATGCTGAAAAGAAAAGAAAATAAACACAACTTTTCAGCTATGGAGTCTTCTTCGGGTGTCATGCAGAAAAGAGAAGAAAAACACAATGTTTCAGGCTGAAACCTTGTCTTTATTTTTATACTCTTTTCAGTATGGAATACATTTTTTTTATTCCTTTTCTAAATGTGATTAGCCTGTAGCTTATCTGCACAGTGTCTATCTTTCTATAATTATTGTTACTATTAAGTCTCTCATTATGTTTGGTCTCCTAGGACATAAAATGCATGATTCTGCACAAATGACCCTTATGCACTTAAAATACAGTATGTTTTAGATTCACAGATTATTTCGTTTCAAGGCTCACTAATGGCCTTTTGTATAGTACCCCATTTATACATTGATCATATACAGTGGCTTTAGCATTAGGCCTGTTGTGGAGCTGTACACAAGGCTGTAACATTGTTTATCATTTGGAACATTTAATGTAGTAATGTTATGTTACACTATTGAGAGGAACACAGTCATGCCCTTTTTCCTTGAGTGCAATTTCTTGTGCAGAACTGATTTTTTTAATGATTCAGTTAATCATCTAGAGAAATCATCTACCAACACTTTAAATCTTAGATTAAAAGTAGTGCTTTATCTCAGAACATCTGAACTTTTCAATTTTCAAACTGATGTTTTGCCTATAATAGTGTAACGCATACGGCCATCAGGGTGTGTAAGAGCCGGCTTACCAGGGCGGTGACGTCGCCGCCCTTCCCTGTGATAGCAGGACTACAGGGCTGTAGAGAGATCTCTCTTTGGCTCAACGGGCTGGGTCGCTGCAGAGTGACGCGGGAGTCCCCGGGGGGCGACCTAATGCGGCAAGGGCGCCCGCCTGAACCCCCGTTGCGTTACAATAGTGTATATGTGCAGGTTTTTAAAAACTTTTAAATGGTCGTTAAAATATTATAAACAGACTTTTAAAAGCACATATAAAGAAGATGCTCTGAATAACAAACATTTCATTAGTAAAAATTACCATAAAGCAGGATTTCCCTTAAGGTCTGCAGCCTTTATTCAAGTTGATTGATTGTCTACAGTTGTGGAACAAGTAAGAACCTTGGATACTATCTATAATGCATACAGCAGATCAAAATACAATGTAGTCAGGTTCAGCAGCAGAGCTAGTGTCGGTGGCCAATAGGGTTACCATACAACCGGATTTTCCCAGCCATGTCTGCTATTTTGATCCTTATATCTCTGTCCAGGGGGATTTTTCAAATATCCAGGATTTCGACACCATTATTTTCACAATAAAGAATAATTAACAAAAGTTTTAAAGATAGAGAATGTCTTAACTTCTCAAGTTCGCTTCGCGACCTACGGTACGTTGTCATTCAGTTTTCGTCCTGTACGTGTATGATTATGTCAGGAGAGAGCGAAATCGGGCGTCCGTATTAGTGTCTTGACTCCGTCTGTTCAATGCAGAAGCATTCCAATGCAGAAGCTCCCTATTTTGTTTCTTGTTTTCCTACCCTCAAACACAATGCCAAAACGAAAGTGTAAATTCACAGCAGAACTCAAATAAATTTCTGTTTTCGAAGTGGCAGAGAAGACTGGGAAGCTGAATGCTTGCTGTGTAAGCCTGGTACTTTTATCTCCATGGTAAATAAAGGTGTACTTGACTTGCAAGCCCATGTTTACTCAAAGACAAAAAGGGAATTCGAGGAGAGGAGTCGGACAACCAAATGAGATTATTTTGTAAATTCTGGCAGCAAAACAGAGGATACTGTTATTGCAGCAGAGGGGACTTGTGCATTTCACACAGTTAAACATAATCACAGTTACTTTACCAATAAACATAAAACGTGGGATATTTTGAAAACCCTCTCCATCCCCAACCCCTTCCCAGATAGGGCAATAGGGATGTTCCTCAGGGTGTCCTTTTTTATTAAGTTCAAATATGGTAAAACCCTAGCGGCCTCCTCATTCTCAACGGGTGTGTGTGATCTATCGGAGCGGGCGTCAGTACTCTTGGCATCTATTCCTTACAGCCATGACATAATACTTGATTTTTGCCAGGTATTCATTTTTGATCACTTGTTCTGTTGGCGAATGTGGCGATGAGCTCTGAAAGCTCGAGAGTAGTATGAACACTCCAGTACTAGCGCGCGCTGTATCGAGGTAGCTAAGTACGTACCTTAGTTTGTATTTGACACAAATTAAAAGTAAATTACAGATGATAATTTACATAATTTATAATTCCCAATTTTTCAGTGCACACAACAAATTTCCAGGGTCATCTGGCATGCCACCTGGGGGCGCTCCGTACCACAAGTTGAGAACCACTGTAGAAAGGCTTATATTACTACAGTAATATACAATAATATACATATTAACCACAAGATGGCACCAGAAGACCTATTTTTTAAAATATGGTTACCAGTGAACCCAATTTTCTGTTAATACTGTTTCATAAGACAAATGATTAAAATAATGTTTAAATGTAATGTAGTAAAACTATATGGTTGTATGTGATAACAGCAAATTTAACTTCATCAGTCTTTTGCTGGATGTGGACAACAAAGTTTTAGAAGAGCTACAACTTTTATTATTTTTCTGAATCTGACTTTACAAAAATAATCTCAATTGTGGGTATGAACATTTAGGAGCTGTGTGAAAGAAATGTATGTAGTGTGTAAATATAGATTATATCCTGTGTTGTCAAATTGGCCAATACTTTTGTTTCCTCTCGAATTGATTACTGTAACGTCCTACTGATTGGGTTATCTAAATCCACACTAAACTCCAATTTGTCCAGAGTTCAGCAGCCAGAATCCTGACCAAGTCTTGTGTTTCAGTGGTCACTTCACTCTTGTCCTGAAGTCCTTGCACTGGCTTCCTTATCAGGTTTCGTGTAGACTTCAGAATCCTCATGCTCACCTGTAAGACTGTACATGGCTTGGCACCTCAGCCCCTGTCTCACTTACTAGCATCCCATCTCACACCATTCTTTTTCATCTCATAAATTTGGTTTCCTGTCTGTCTCCCAAGCCCGTCTACACTCTATGGGTGACAGGTCCTTCTCTTGCTATGCCCCAAAGCTCTGGAAATCTATCCCTAAGGATATTGGTGAGTCACCTTCCCTGAGCACTTTCAAATCTAGACTCAAAACCTTCTTCTTTATTAGGGCTTTTATTTAATTGGTTCTGTGTGGCTCTTTGTTTTCCTACTGTATTCCAAACCCTTGTAATTCTGCTGTCACCTCTCAATGTGTGCTTGTTTACTGTAAAGCGATTTAAGAAGCCACTTTTAAAGGCAATATATAATAAAAATAATTGCTTATACTTATATAGCGCTTTTCTGGACACTCTACTCAAAGAGCTTTACAGCTAATGGGGACTCCCCTCCACCGCCACCAATGTGCAGCCCCACCTGGATGATGCGACGACAGCCATAGTGCACCAGAATGTTCACCGCACATCAGCTATCAGTGGGGAGGAGAGCAGAGTAATGTAGCCAATTATTAGGAGGCCATGATTGGTAAGGGCCAATGGGAAATTTGGCGAGGACACCAGGTTCTATTTGAGTAGGGGTCTTGGGATTTTTAATGACCGCAGAGAGATAGGACTTTGGTTTTATGTCTTATCTGAAAGACAGCGCTTATTTACAGCATAGAGTCCCTGTCACTATACTGGGGCATTAGGATCCACACAGACCACAGGGTGAGTGCCCCCTGCTGGCCCCATTAACACCTCTTCCAGCAGTAACCTTAGTTTATCCTAGGGGGTCTCCCATCCAGGTACTGACCAGGCTCACACCTGCTTAGTTTTAGTGGGTTGCCAGTTGTGAGTTGCAGAGTGAAATGGCTGCTGGCTACATGTATATACTGTGTACTGTATAATAAAGTTTA